TGCTACCTGTTGGCAGCTCAGCGACTGCTCAGCTCGGGCTGGACTCGAACCACTGTTGCTCAGAGCTCAAACTCTTCAGCGAGCTCTTAACCAACTGAGCCACTCGGCCGGCCCCTGCAATATATATATTTTAATTCAAAGTGTATCGACAGTAACACACCATAAATTCTTATTTTGACACTCACCAAAATAGTCACCTGGAAAACCCGCTTTTTGTGACAAAGTACAGAAGGCTTGGTCATATGTAAATCACTGAGAACTAGAGAGAAATATTATCGCAAACCGTAATAGACATTATCTTACACACCTTTCATGCCATCATTTTTTATGCATCCAATCATCACTTTAGAATAGCAAATGAAATCAGTACTATAATAAAAATACTCCATTTTCAATTAAAAATGTTTATTTGAAAATGCTGTTATAAATCAACTGCTTGCTCTACTGCTGAATACAAATCTTGGTTCTTGTATACATTCATATGAATTTTCCTTTTTTGTAAAGGAAAAATTGGCAATTTTCAATGATGATATTTGTAAGAGACCTCTCTTTCTGAATTACTAGAGCAACCACTATTTGAATTTTTTTAGTAAAACAAAATTCTTTTGGACTTAATCTTTGTAAGACTTTGTTGATATTGTCCTTTGTTTTAGAGCTGTGCAGATAAATATATTCTCCGGATAAATACTCAGAAGTAGAATTGCTGGGTCCCTCTTTGTCTCTTGTTATATAGCCTTTGTTTTAAAGTCTGTTTTGTCTGGTGTAGGTATTACCACCCCAGCTTTGTTTGTTTGTTTGTTTTCGTTTTCATGACTATATATGGTGTCAGATAGGTACTAGATTTATTGGGGTGATCACTTCATAAGTTATATAAATATCTAATCACTATGTTGTACACCCAAAACTAATATAATACTGTGTGGCAACTGTAATTGAAAAATAAAAAAAAAATAGGAAAAAATAAGATGTGGAAGCATAAAAATATATATATATTCTCATATGAGGCAACATTGTTACATAGAACAACAAATTTCCTGTGGTACTCTTTTCCATGTGTAAATTGAGGGAAAAAAAAATATTTGGATGAGCTGGGTGGTTATTTAAAAGCTAGCTTCGGGCCGGCCGAGTGGCTCAGTTGGTTAAGAGCTCACTCAAGAGTGCGAGCTCTGAGCAACAGTGGTTTGAGACCTGGCCCCAGCTGAGCAGCCGCTGAGCTGCCAGCAGGTGGCAGGATGGCTCAGCTAAAAAAAGTTAAAATATAAATAAATAAATAAAAGCTAGCTTAATTTGTGTCCAGTATTTCCATGAAATGTGTAAAACTCTTGTAGAATCAATCATATTGTCCGTGTATAATGGTATTAGAGTACATTGTTTAAGTCTACTCCTGATGAGGGTGATGAAATGAATTGGTATTAGGACATAGTTTGCACATATTTAAAATCAGCCAAACAACTTAATAACTTGCAAGTGTGTTATCTCAGCTGTGCAATTCTACTTGTCATGACATGGTTCTAAATGTAAAAGATGCCATACACATGATACTCAGGAGTCTTTGCTAATATTATTTGCTTCACCCAGAGTTCACCTGCCATGCAAAGGAGTTCAGGCTGATGCAATTTTCGAGTAATCCACGGTAATCAGGAGATTTAACATAGTATTCTGTAGTGACTTAATAGAAATTGAGAGATCAGCTCTGAGTAAACATAGTCGATGTTTTCCTTGATGTGCTCTTGAAGCTCCAGGATGAATCAGCTAAAATAAACATTGTTAACCAACACGGTATGCTCTGATGCAGGAACTCTCACTGGGCTCCTTGTTGAAGCTGAGTCTGTACTTCTCTGCTGGTTTGCTGCCCTATGTCTATCTTCCTATCTCATCCTACATCAATCAAGCCCGCTGGACCTGGGGAGACCAGACAACATTGCTGGGGTTTCTGACTCATTTTCTCAGAGAAGAATATGGAACATTCAGTCTGGTAAATTTATATTTAAAGCTCCTATAAGGAATAAGTGGCAAAACTTCAGTGTTCTGCCTGGACTTCGATTGAAAAAAAAAAGGGGGGGAAAAATCAGTGTTTATCAATGACTGTGTAGAATTTTCATTTATTTATGTAACTGCTCCATAAAATGTGGCCTTTAACATACATTAGAAAAAAATTGGAATCACTTAGCCTGACATCATACCATTGTAGATCCTGAATATATTTTTAGGATAACAAGCATTAAAAAGAGTCTGCTGCTGGGGCGGCCGGTTAGCTCAGGTGGTTAGAGCACAGTGCTCATAACACCAAGGTTGCCGGTTCGATCCCTGCATGGGCCACTGAACTGCGCCCTCCACAACTAGATTGAAACAACTACTTGACTTGAAGCTGATGGGTCCTGAAAAAACACACTGTTCCCCAATTCAAAAAATAAATCTGAAAATTAGGTACTTTGTCTGATTTGTTTAAAAAAAAAAAAGAGAGTCTGCTGCCAGCAGTTCAAGCATTTCAGTCTTCTTAGCATTGGGTATCACTTTGGGCTCTTGGTCTGTGACTAAAAATATTTGGAAAAAATTAAAGAAAAAAACTCAAAAATTTTAATTTACTTTGACCAAAACCCTTGTTTTTCCATATTTAATGAACAGTATTCATGTTAGTATTATACTTATGTGTAAATGCTTTATGAAATATAATTTTACTAACTGTGTGAAATTTAGTGTGCTCTAAAGAAGTTCAGAAGGCCTTGTTTTCCCTAAAATATAAATAGGGGAAAACACTAAAGTGGTTACAGTAAAGGTTATTTGAAAAAATGAAAGGTTAAACAGACATTTTTTATTTTAATATAGACAGTTGTATCAGCTTTTTCTTTTCATGGTTTGTGCTTTTGGTGTCTTATTTAAAAAGGCAAATCTCAGAAGAGGGCACCATTTATACAAAATTCTAAGCTATGCAAAAACTAAACAATCTATTACTCAAGGATACATACAAAAGTGGTGAAACTGTATTTTTAGAAAGTAGTTGAATAATTAACACAAAATTCATGGTAATAGTTACCACTGGGGGATGAGAAAGGCAAGGCCTATCCATGCCTGTTTCTTAAATGAATGGTGGGTCCATAGACTTTTTTAAAACTATCATGTAAATATACATTATATATGTTGTTTGTATGTCAGAGGTATTTCATAATAAAATAAGGTAATAAAAGGATAATTATTATTTTTTTACTTAGTTTGATACTTTAAATTTATATTCTGGTTTACTTATATTGGTTATTCCATTAAAATATTACTTGAGGACCATTCCAGATTTGAAATTTATATAATTCACACAGCTGTGAAATTAGAACAGGTGATAATGAGTTCTAATCAAAGTACTCAAAAAAGAGTTTAAAGGGCCGGCCGAGTGGTGTGTTGGTTAGGAGTTGGCTTGGGATGCCAGCTCTGAGCAGCAGGGCCCCAGTTCGGATCCCACATGAGGGCAAGTGACACTGAGCCCTCTACAGCTAAGATGGTGAACAACAGCTCGACCTGGAGCTGGGCTGCCATGAGTCACCGGCGGCGGTGTAGGCGGCAGTGGGGCTGGCTGGCAGCTGATGTGAGCTTTCATGAGCTGCCATGAGCCGCGGTGAGCAGTCGTCCAATAGCCAGTGAGCGACTGCTCACCTGGGAAGAGCGCAATGACAATACCAACGTCCTTCACAACTAGACTGAAGAACAAAAGGACAGTAACTTGTCTGTTCCCTTCCCCGATTCCCCAACGCTGTGACCCTCCCCCAATTTCCCAATAAAATCTTTAAAAAAAGAGTTTAAAGTGACTCTGTAACAAAAGTATAAAGTCTATTAATTCATTAACGTGTTTAACATTTATGCTGGAATAGTTTAATTGAATTTTAGCCAAGTATTATTTCTGAAATTCTTCCTAAAGAATGTCCATGTTTAGTTTTCACTGACTTCTCTTTGAAAATTCAATAAGGCTCTGAAGTAAAGACTTCGAATTAAGAAAGGTATTTGCACTGTATATTTAAAACATGAATTTTTAAATCAAGATAGTTAACTATAATAGCCTAACAAAGCTTCAGTTTAATGCTTGTGCAAATAAACTTTTCTCTTTTATGTTTAGGCCAAATCTGAAATAGGATCCAGTATGTCTAAAATTTTACTGTGAGTATGAAATATTTGAAACTATTTTTAAATGAATTTTCTATTCCTTTAAATGATTTTTGGGATTTCTGAGTTTCTCTCTTCATGAAACAGTATGTCTGAGAAGTAGTTTTCACCCATATAGTTAATTGTTGTTTGTACATACTGTCAAATATTCTACCATTTCCTTCACTTCAATAAGGTAAAACTTACAGTAAGTAATAAATGCAACAGTAAAGGAGACTACTAGGAGGCTACATAGAACCTATAAAACTAAAATGTTTCAATTTGTAGTGGGATACAAAATTACCTGATGTAGTATTGCTTTATAAAAAAAATTATGCTTTGTTCTGATATATCCTCTTTCTTACAGTGACATTTTGTAACATTGTATCAATTTCATACATTGAACAATTATTTTTTGTTATCTTGGATTGAGCTATGCTTTTTTAATTCTTCAGAGCTTAATTTACTTAATGTCTCTCAAGACTTTTCCTTTAGGCTGTCCTTAAGCTCTGTTTTTTTTACTTGCATATTTTTAACATTCAACCTTATTAAAGCCAGCTTAAGCAAATATAGTTCATCTATATTGTCTATTAGCGTTCACTGAAAAATAGGTTAATATTTGCTTTAAAACTTACAAAGATTAAGACAACTTGAAAAATATCTAGACCAATCTTGTAATATTTTTATATTTTCAATATAAAATTAGGGAGGAATAGTTTTCTACAACACTGAAGTGATTTAACTCATTATTGTGATTCTCAGGACTATTTGAAAAACATTTTTAAACTATGGGAAGAATATTTCACCTCTATATACAAGTTATTTCATAGGTTCTCACAATTTCTATCTTCTTTACTTGCAAGCTTGCTTTCTTTCTTCCATCCTTCATTTTTTTAAATGACCTTTTTCCCTATTTTCCAAAAGAAAGGATACATAATCATTATGAAGTTTAGAAAACACAGGTAAGCAAAAATAAGAAAATGAAAAATTACTATAATTCCAACATGCAGAGATGACCACTATTACTAATCCATTTAATATTTTTCTCTCTATTCTTGCAATATTTTTTATATTTTTGTTTTAAAAAATGGAATCATAATATACATATTGATTTACTAGCCTCCTGCTTTTTCTTTTTATACTGTATCTTAAAAATATTTTCATGCCACCAATCATTTCTGTATAGCCTTTTGGTAGTTCTCACAATTGACTTTTAATTTTTTTTATGCCTGACTGAGACTTTTGTGTCCCCTTTTTCTATCTTCTTGGAGAGAAGGTAGCAAGAAGCTCAGTTTCCATTTTAAAGGTAAACACAATTTTGCCAGCATCTCTGGGCTTTCACTTTATCCTCCTTTGCTCCATGCTGAAAAACTCACTCCTTTTCTATCTGCCGTTCAGGGTTATTATCACACTCAGGATTACTGGTATATTTTGCTTCAACAAATCCCACATGAACTCCAAAGGACTCTCAAGAACAATCCTAGACCAGACATCTTTTATTAATTTCACATAAAAGTCACCTATTGGAGAAATTAAATGTCTCCTTTACATTGAAATAATAGCTATTAGGTTATATACCCAGAAAAGAAAAAAAAAGACTTGACAAAAGTGATGACCACTCACACTATTTGTTACAACCAAATCATAATGTAAAATGGAGGTATAATCCTAGCACTCTCTGACTGAGGTAATTTCTAGTCTTTAATTGTTTCAGGTGGACAAGAGTGTTGAAAAAGGCAACTCATAATTAACTTAATAGAAAAATCCTTCAAAATGATGGAACCTAATCATCTACCCTTTTCCAGTCAAGCAAATTAAATTCTTTCCTCATGCATATCTCTAAATTGCAACACTGTACAAGGAAATTATTGAATCTAACCCTAGGCAGTGACCAGGTTTTAGAGCTTACATTTAAGCAACAGATCTCCAAGAATTAATTTTGAGACTGACTTCAGTCCTTTTGAAAAATAGCCTGAAATGGGCCTCATGTGGGAATCAATTTTTCAAGTGTATTTCAAAATGAGTAAGGATATCTTCTTATAGTAGATGAGTCTCCATTAGTAAAATATACATTGTGTGGTTTCCATAATTATGACATCACATTTTCTCCAGTAAAATTGCCAGTAGGGAGAAGTTCTTTGAGATAGTGTATAGAATCATTTCTTTTTTAAAAAAGATGGAGACCTGCTGGAGCTATTTTAAAACTCAGATAACACTTGGAAAATGCTTAATTAGTTAATGGAGCTAATGGAAGAATTTATATTAATTGTAAGGGAAAAAAAGATACATTTGTTGGAGATACCATAAACATTTTTTGAACCAAATAATATAGAAAACAAGGAAATCTTTTAAGGAAGAAGGTAACCCAGAAAAGAATGGTTGGAGATCACTTTTCTCCTTTCTTTTTTTTCTTCATGATTAGATCTCCAAAAAATGATTTGAATTAATTTTGTTTTCCATTGCTAATCACTGGAGGCCGTCTTTACACTGCTGACAGAAGAACTTGAAAAACCCATTTCAAACCAATGGGGGATACAAATTGGTCTATAATTTCAATACAGTATACCAATATCACAAATACTGAAGAACTATCTGTTCTGATGCTATCCTAAATTATGTAAATCGGTAACCAAATGTTACAATTGAAAAACATTTTAGAACTGTTTCAACTCTTTCTTGTGGTACTTTTTCTCCCAAATTTGAAACAAGACAAAATACTTTTAAAAACTGATGCTAAACCTTAAAATCAGATGTAATCAGATGTATTTTACAAAAAATGTTCTATTTGGAATTAACCATATTTGTTTTCTGCCAACAATAAGTTAGATTGTCCTTTACAGTTCTCAAGTAACAAATATGAGGACCGAACTCTCATTCAACATTCAAGCCCTTGCAGTTTGGGCAAATATATGTTTAGCAAGAAAGTGAGTAATATAATTCCTTTTCCTGTTATTTTTTCCATGTTCATTAATTAATATTTTTAATGTTACTGTAGAACATTGCTATTAGTATTTTATATTCCAAATAAATGACTTTAAGTACTTCTATGAAGACAAATATGTGTTGCTTTCTTGCTAGTTTTTCTGATTATAAATTAATGATTTTCAAAGTTTGAGAAATGTATTACAATCTAACGAGGTAAGTCATTTGATGTCTTAAACTTTGGTTTGATTCCCTCACTCTGACCATAGCCAATTATTATTGTTGCTTTGCAAAAGAAGCAAACAGTTATTTGAATTCCTCTGAAGATAAAAGTAATCTCCAATGATAAAAGCAAACCGAAAAATATAGCACTATTAACATCCATTAATTTCTTGTTCATTTACTTTATATGTATTTGAATGTATTTTTATGTAAATGTATATACATTTATAGTTTTGTTTCCTTAATACTTAACATTATATTGTGAGCATTTCCCCATACCATAAAAAAATATTTAAAATCACTTAAATGTCTGTACAATATTCCATTCTACACCTAGGAGAATTAATTTAAATGTTCTCCTATTTGAGGATCTTTAGATAGCCTCCTCTTATTCCACTATTATAAGTAATACCAAAGCATTTTTATGGATTTATCTTTATCCATATTTCTGGTTATTGCTTAGGGATTTATGTCTACATGTCAAATTACTAGGTCAATGACTGAATATTTTTAAGGCTCTTAATATATATTATCAAATTAACTTTTCTTGAAGATCATACTAACATACATCTCATACAACCACATTCTCACCAACATTGAGATTTGTCATTTTAAAATATTATTTTGATGCATGAAATTATTATTTTGTTTGCATGTTAATTACTTCTTACACTTAATAAGATTAATAATTTATATTTCTTCTGCAAATTTTAATTATATCTTTTGCTGCATAGTTTCTAGTTGTCTACAATATATAGTACAGTGTATATAGTACAGTGTAGTTTTACTATATTTTGGTTATCTATTCCAACTCAGGTTTTTCAAACTGAGATCCTTCTTTATTCCTACTTAAAAATGGAAAGTTTTATAGTTCCAAATATTTTTCTATAGTTTAAAACTGTGTATTGTTATTAATATTCATGTTCATAAATAATTTTGGACTTATTTTAATTTTTTTATAGAGACAGACAGAACCCATCATTGGTATGGCTTTTTACTGGAATGTTTTGCATTTATTCATTGTTCTTTGCTTGGAGGGCAAATTTAGATATTTCAAAACCACTTTTCATGGGTGTGGTAAGTTTCATTTAGATATCTCCTTTGACCAGAAAGTTTGTGAGGAGTGTAAAAATTTGTCTGTCATGAATCTTAGAGAACAAATTATCTCAGAAATAGTTAAACTTGCATATACATTATTATATTTTCAAAAGTTAAATTACTGAACCAGTAAGGCTAAGGCCTCTTTTTAGAAAAAGAAATGCAATGTTTAGTTAGCACAATAGTTAAATAGAAAAATAAATGTAAGGTAGATTTAATAAGTTAGTCATTTTATATGTGTGCTTACAGATATAGCTACTACTGCATTTCTCCTGGAATTTGTGCATTGTAATTAGCGGCTCTTACCAACAAATTCCCTTATTTTTTACCTCACCAGTCCAGGCCTGTGCAAAACAGCAACTACATGTCTGTTTTTACCTGGGTGCCATTTCTCAGGTTCTCCTTATAATAAAAGCTCTGTAAATATAGGTAGCTCCTTTTTAACAGCTGAAACCAATGATTGTGTGTGTGTGTGTGTGTGTGTGTGTGTGTGTGTGTGTGTTTAAGAGGCCTGATAAATAATACCCTACTTAATCACCTGAGTTCTGACTAATTGAGAAGTAAGATAAACCAGTACAACAGATGGGAGAATCACCTTTATTACTGATAACGCTGAGATTAGAGAATGTGGTTTATATCTGGGCAAGGGGGTTCCTCACCCTGCATCTTGGAATAGGCAGACCTACCCACTAGTCACAGGCAGTGCTGCACAGGGCAGGCCTCTTCCCACCTCAGCCCCACCCCACTGGTGCCACAGGGACACAGTCTGCCACTGGACAAGTGCTTCCTGTGGGCAGCTCACTTCCAAGAAAAAAAGAGAGGAAAGGGGAGGGCTAATGCAGACCCAGCCCCAGCTCCCAAACTCTCCAGTCAGCTCAATCCCTACAGTCCTACAGGAAGAAATAAGTGAGAGGGCAGAGAGCGGCCAGGAGTGTTAGACTGATGGACCTTCTGCACGTGGAAGGAAACATCAGAAGGAAACTGAAAGCATTTCCCCACCTCTTCCACCTTACATATTGCAGGAGTTCAGTTCAACATGAAGTCCATAGTATTGAAAAGAATGTGTGGATCCAAAAAAGGAGATTCACATGTCAAACTGGGAAGGAGGAATGCTTAAAAACTGAAAAATAAAGTAATGCGGAGTTGGATTGGGGAAGTCAATTAACAAGACCTGAATGACAGCAGGCATAAGCAACTTAGATGTATGCAATACAAGCGTTTTAAAAATCTATAAGTACCAGGTTGATTGCATGAGCCCGCCAACCGGCCGTCCTGTCTGCATGCCCCTTTCACAGGTAGAGCGGTTCTGGATGCAGAGCAATGCCGTGGTGGCCGTCCTCGCCGGCCTTGGGCTGGCTGCACTGGCTTCTGAGAGTAACCGAGTGCTGAACACCAATGGGCTTCAGTGTCTGGAATGGCTTTCTGCAACTCTTTTTGTAATTTACCAAATATATTCCAATTACAGGTAACACGTGGTTGTTTTTATGAAAAGTTGCACTCATGCCAGAGACACTTAACATTTTTATTCTAGGACTTTATTTCATCTTTCACTTCTACTGGTTTTCACAGAAGGATAGCTTGGTTGGTCTAAATGCCATGGTTCTTAAACTTTTTAACCAGAATCTCAACATGAGTGATGTGTAGTTTCAGGGCATTGCAAACAAGGATTCCGGTGGTACACGCAAACTATTTGTATATTTTCCTCTAATGAACCCTAGAGACACTTTGAAGAATCTGGAGTATATGTAAAATTCTATGATATAAAATACCATTTAGATGAAGAGTAAAGACATTTTGGCCTTTTTGTATGCCCTAAAGTAATTCACTGTATGCTTGCTTCAAAGATCTGTTCTTTTGAGTAGTACCTGGCCCTTAATCTAGTTCATTCTGTAGTACTGAATACTAATTATTTTGAAATAATTAAAATTCTAGACGTTTCGTAACCCTTAGGTGTTATTAGTATTTTATGTATTGTTCAATAACCTTTTATGTATTTTTAATAACCTTTCTAATGAAAATCTCAGTCTAACATAAAAGCTGTCCAAGTTTTAGATGATAGTTCATTTATTTCATTGAGTAAACATTACAGAAGAGGAAGAGCCCATTGGAGTTTCATTATAGTGAGATTTGATTGATATTTTAGAAGGTTAAATTTCCCCTTTCAACTTAATAAAAACCAATGTTCTTTATAATACCAGGGTAGAGCCAGGGAGGCCTGGTGGGATCCTCAGACCCAAATCCATAACTAGCTAAAGGAGGGTTTGCCAAACCCACAGTGTGTGTTTCCTAACCTTTTGTTTAATACTAGTCTTCTCCTGGCTCGGGTCTTTAGGGCAACCCAGGTTTAACACCAGGGATGCCAGCGCAGGCCAGGTGATTTTATTTTGTTTTGATTCTTTTACTTGCCCCCAGGTGAATGGAATAGATAGCAACTTTGTTGGGTGGCGAAATGTGAGGTATCTCCTTGCAATGTAGAGAATCATAGGAGGAAGCAGTTGCATCAGTTACAAAGGCAAGGATAACATTTTGTTCCTGGAAGTGTTTATTTGCTTTGTGATACTAACCCAGTGATTCAACTTTAGGCTGTGTTTCTCAGAACCATTAAATGTAATGGACCTCATAAGAACAGGAAGGACAGTGCTTGTTCAGTTTTTTGATGCCTTTACTCTTGTAGTCTTTTTCTTTTTTCATGGGAAGTGCTCAGAATTCATGCCAGTTTTTCTTTGAAGTGAGAACGTCCACTTCATCCTTGAAAGGAATTGTACTGCTGCTGTTGGCAGTGGCAGACAGTGCCTAGAGAGAAGTCAACACCTCAGCCTTCTGCTCCTTCCTGCCCTACTCATGGGTCTCATTCCCTAATGATTTCTCCGTGTGGACAGGAGAGAGGAGCGCAGGGAGCCTGTGGTTCAGGGAAGTGGTAGAAAGGATCAGCCTTGCATGCAAGAAAGTCAAACAAGTGTCATCCCTATTTATGCCGGAAATGGGCAGATTTCTTTTTGCATTTCTAAATATTCCTTTGGACTAAATGGAATTAACCTGAAATTACCTTAAATTCCAAGTGGAATCAGAAGCCTTACTTCTTTTTAGTGAAATTAGATATGCTTTTAGGAAAAAAAGGACATATTCTTGAGCACTAACTGGTTCTCTTTTTATGGAAATGATTATAAATTCTGGAAGTGAAGCAGTATGCTGATTTTTTTAATTGCACAATTAGTTTTTTTATTAGATGATAGTGTTCTCTTTTCAAATATATATTTAGAAAATATAAGTTAAAATACTTTGAAACACTAAATGTAGATTGTGTGGGAAAGGAATGGGGCAGAAAATAAACCCAGTCTTATTAAAACTGAAGCAATGTGTTGCTATTTTAATGTGTTTTTGATCCTTTTATTTAGCATTTGTGACCAAAGGACCAACTATGTGATCGATAAATTTGCAAAGAACCTTCTAGCCTCTATGCCTCAAGATGCAATTATCTTACTCAGAGGAGATCTGCCAGGAAATTCTCTCCGTTACATGCATTATTGTGAGGGACTGAGGCCAGATATTTCATTAGTGGATCAGGAAGTAAGTATGTGAAAAATGTACTTAGAATATTTTAATTGTAATTGTTTAAAAACATATTTTTTAAAAACTATTGTTTTAACAGTGGATAGATACAGTGATAATCACTCTTAGGTAGAAGATATACTATTAGTTAAAATAAACAAAAAAGTGATATAAGTCATATGAGCTGCCTCTATTATTGAAACCGAATGTTTTAAGAAGTAATGTGTTTCATGTTCAATTCAAATAATACCCTAGGTCTTTAGTTCACATAACAAACCATGAAAATAGTGTATTGTAAATTTATTTTTAAATTATTTTACATTCAAATTAATACTGCCCACTGGTCTAGGGATTAAACGAAATTAGGTTGAATATAAAATAAGTCATACTGCAGGTAAGTAAATATTTCACTCAAAATAGAAATTATTAACTACAATTCTTCTATGGAATATTTGTGTAAACTTCGTTGAGCCTATGGAAAAAAATATATTTGGAGAGGACTTGTGAAAATTTTGAGGTCTATTAAAACAATCTTCTGGAACTCAAGAAATATACTTAAACTATAAGATTTATTATTTAAACCATAAATACTTAAAAGGGAGCATGTTTTTAGAGCAGTCATCAGGAAATGAGAAATTCTTAATCTTAAAAAATACTATGATTAGTTTGGTTAAGTAAATTATTAGGCGCAATACTTATTTAGTAAATTTTGTTGAATTAATGAATAATTAGAACTAGCAAATAAAGAAACAAAATCTCCTAGACACCACAGTTTAGTGGTTACAAAGGGTAATGGAGGAGGGAGGGATGGTAGAAGAGGGTAAAAGGGATCAAATATATGGTGATGGAAGGAGAACTGACTCTGGGTGGTGAACACATAATGCAATAAATAGATGATGTACTATAGAATTGTACACTTGAAACTTACGTAGTTTTGTTGAATATTGTTACCCCAATAAATTTTAATTAAAAAAAAAGAAAACTAAACAGATTTGCAAATGTAGGGAAATTGCAAATTACACATTTTTATAAGTAGTTTGCATTTATATCAAGTACACTAATTGATTAATTTGATCTTCAGTCTAGCTTCTGACAAAAGCTAGGTTATTTGTTGATAATATGGTACTGCAGTATGATTTTAAGCCCTGTTTGGGATGGCAGCTAATATAGTTGAGAACCATGGATTTCAAAGTTAATTAGACCTATATTCAAATCCTCATCCTGTCATTTACTGGATATGTTGGTGGGGATGATTTTTCCTCACAGAACCTCTGTTTTCTTATTTATAAAATGGAAATGATCATCATATAAGTCACATTGCTTTTGAATGCAAGAAACAAAAAGTAGCTAACTGACTAAGAGTAGCTTAAACTGTGGAGTTTTTAAGCTCACATAACAAGTAGTCTGGAGATAGTTGGTTTTAGGATTGATCATACGAGCAGTTCAATGATTCCAGCATTCCGGGGCAGCTTTTCTTCAGGCATCCTGAACTGATGGATGCCCCATTCCAAACATCACATCATGAAACCAAGCCAAGTACATCTGGGGCCTACCCCACTCCTCCCCTCTATTGGGAGTAACATGTGCCCCAGAAGTCCCTAGCAGACCTCCACTTGGGCCCCACCAACCAGTATTGGGTCATATGCCCACTCCAAAACTACTCACTAGCAAAGGGGAATGACTAGACCCAAGCGTATTGCTGCCCTGGTTACTTGATCAAAATCAGAATTGTGTTAGGGAGAAAAAAGAAGGTATTAGCTATTGAGTAGGCACTCAACAGTATCAGATGTAACTATTCTTACATAATAAGTTATTATGAGAATTAAATGGGAAACATTAATTTCATAGCACACAGTGGGTATTTAATTAATGTTAATGTCCTCAAGAACTGAAATATTGGGCAATAAAATGAAATTCAATAAGTATTTTGTGAGTATTTACAATGTACACTTAAAATAAAATTAGTCATTTCTAGCTAAATGACTTGTATAAAGCAAATGAAACAGAAGCATAATTGCTCAAACAGTAATATCCAAACTTGAACCCAAGCTTTGAAAGTGTGAATAGGCGTCTTTTAAAAAAGAAAATCTGTACATATAAAAGTATTGATAAGTATATACTAACTACAGAATTCAGAAAAATGATTTTTCCTAATATATTCATTTTAATCAAAAGAACACATCAGAATTTGTAATTAATTTGGAGATACTAATAGATTCAGATAATTTAGTCGGTTTTCATTTTTGAGGCCTACATTATCATTATAATTGAGCTTCTCAAGAGCAGGGATTCATTTTAGGTGAGCAATACTTTTATTTTGAATGAATGGAGTACAGACCCATTTCTCTTTTGTCTAGGTTGCCCAGTGTGGCCACTAAAGACATTTCAACTTCAGCAAACATAGTTTGAGAACTATTCCATGCCAGGCAATGTGCTAGGTACCTAGACACAAAGATGAAAAGATACAGCCCCTTCTCGCTAGGAGCTCGCAGTCTAGTGAGTACTAGGCTAAGAGCTGCAAGTGCTATGGGAACTTATTCTGCTTTGGAAACTGGGGAGGGCATCACAGAGGAAGTGATATTTATGCTGGTTCTGAAAGTTGAGCAACGTTCTCTAAGTATAAGAATGCAGGATGGTCCTTCTGGGTAGCCCATCAAATGCATGGAGGCAGAAGGAAACTAAATGCTGATCTTGCCAATGGCCATCATAACTAAAGACGTGAAACGGTTGAAGCCACTAGAAGAGTAGCCAGTGCAACATACCTCAGTTGTGCTTGTGTGTATTTTTCAATTATGTTTTCATTGAATGAGTATATCCACATTTTAGAACTTTTTTGTTGTACTTGCTAAACAGGAGTCTTTTTTAAGAAGTATATTAAAAGTACGACATCATATGTTATTTTTCTGGCAGATGATGACATATGAGTGGTATTTACCAAAGATGGCCAAACATTTACCAGGTGTCAGCTTCCCTGGGAACCGGTGGAATCCTGTGGAAGGAATCTTACCTAGTGGAATGGTCACATTTAATCTTTATCGTTTTCTGGAAATAAATAAACAGTAAGCATTCTTTTCATATAATAGCTTTTCTAAAATCTTAAGCTGTTCTAAAATTGTTTATGTAGCAGCTGTGTTTCATCCAAAAGACCAATTTTCTACACCTATTTTCCTGTCACTGGTGAGATTATCTTTGTAATTAAATTGAATATCTGTGCATAAATGAGGCCAGGCAGAAATAAATGTTATTGTTCTGGGTAAAGGAAAAATAAAGACAGATTAGCAAGAATAGCAAATAAGATCTTAGTACAATTCAGAGAAATTAGAGATGTGCCTGCCTACTTGAAATCATTGCAGGTGGATCGCAAGCAATTATAGTTTCCCCCTGATCAACGCCATGGCCCCCTTTTAAGTGTAAAGAAAATGTTTTCCAGGAATAATCACTATATAAAAATAGCTTAAGGAGTTTTTAAATAAAGGATAAGACATTTTTACAAATAAGAAAAGCACCTACAGTTATACTGGCTGAGATAACATATGAGAATTGTGAATTCTATACTTAAGAACATAAAATTATTTTTTCTTGACCTTAACTATGAATAAGTCCTCCAGGAGTATAATATTGACCATTTCTCCTGTTTCGGAAGTGCTTGGGATTGTCCAGAGTGTGAAGAAGGAAAACCAATTTTATAATTTCTATTCTCTTAATAAAGGGGACTTTGAAATTCTTTGTAAATTGCAAAGTTAAATTATCCCTTACTAAGAACATAATAATATGATATTTCTGGTGTTCAGAGCCTGAAGCTTACTGTGGCTTATGAAGAAATTTGAAGGTAATGGGTATAAGTTTGCTGAAGAATAACATTTAATTGTTTTGGAATAAAATATTAAGAATATTAAGAATCATTAACATCCCCAAATAGGCATTCTTTTGTGAATTGTATTTAATTGAATCTCACAAACATTTATTAAATCTACCATGTTCCAGCTTATATTAGGCCCTGGCAATATGAGACTTAGCTCCAAACTTAAATAGACCACAACCCAATTGTATGTATACATATACATGAATACAACTGGCCAGGATGTGATGGGATAAACTCTATACTAGCAAAGCTTTGTCAAGTGTGAGAGTCAGTAAATGTTCAGTATGTGTCTACTGAATGGATGATTTAACTGACAGTATAAGCCAAGTGTTCTGGGAGCATGGATGAGGAAGCAATTAATTCTGCCTGGGGACATTCGTTCAACATGCATTTAATAAATATTTGGAGTCCAGACTGTCCAAACTACACTGGCCACCCCTGCACGGACCTGAACTCTCCTGTTAGTCTTTCGGAGAGGGTTTCAGGTGATACCTTAACTATGAAACAGATAAGTTATAGTATCATCTGGAAAGTGTGATAATGTTAATATGAACAAAACGTTGGGGACTTCAAGGCTAAGTAGGCATTTATCAAGTGGGTAGGAGAAGGCCAGTTCACGAGAAGTGCATATGCAAAGTCACGGGAAGGGCCTGCTGAGCTCTGGGGACGTTGGGGTGGCCCAGTGTCCTTGGCGCTCAAGGCCAAGAGGGCAGGTGAGGGGCTGAGTGGAGGGATGGTGGGGCCCAGCTCGTGAAGGGATTTATCCTATAGGCATGCATGAGGTATTTCCTCATGATGGAAATATTGCATGCTCCTTGTGAAAACTCTAAAGAGAAGTGTCCCCTTCCTCTGAGTTCTGGGAAAATGCCTAGCTGCCACTGCCATTACGGTGCTGCTGTCTGGCTGCTGGCACAGCAGTGCCTGGTGCCTGGGGAAAGAGAGAAGGAAAAACATCCGGGGTATTTTCTCTGCTCTCTCCAACCCTTACAAGTTTCCTTTCCCACTTTTCAGGCTACGAAAAAAAAAAAAAAGTTCTTAATGGTGCTCTTGACCGTCACTTGGAATGTACCTGTGGGTTTCAGGTTTCCTTTGAGTCCAGGCCAGGCCATAATGGGAGGAGAAAAATGGTAAACTCTCCACATATTTGAAAGGACATCCTATTCTGGTCTCTTTCCCAACTCTTCTCCCTACCATTTACTTTTCAGAGTGCTCAGATAGCTGTTCCCTGTATTCTGTCCAGGAATTATAGATGTGTGCAGTGGGCTAGACGGGGTCATCATCCCCAGAACTAGAACTGTACTTCATATCAACTATCTCATTTAATCTTAAACAGCTCTGAAAGAGTTATACCCATTTCACAGATGAGACTAGACACGGGTAGTTTAGTAATTTCCCCAAAATCATAAGAGGTCATAAATGGTGGGAAAAATCTAAGCCAGAAGTGTCTTGTTCCAAAGCTCATGAAGTTTTTTACTTTCAAGTAATTTCTTCTAATATGCTCCTTTTTCTTCTACTCAGTAATAGCTATTAAGGCATGCAGCACAAATTGGAATAGAACTATTCAATTACAGTGTTTTTTGATCCAAGCTTAGTTAAGCAATTTCTATGACTAATTTTTGTATGATTTGAAGCTCCTAATAGTTATCCAGGTCTAACTCATTTTATTCAACGAATGCTGTGCATTAGCTATGCATCATGCTATGTGGGATTCAGGGTAAATTCACAGATAGAGAGCCTATCCTCAACATGCCGCTGGTCTCTCAGAAAGATTTATCAATGCAAATATTAAGTTTAACACAATAATGATAAAAGAGATAAAAATAAAATGCAATGGGCATTTGAGGAAGGAGAGACTACTTAAACGAAGACTTTTATGTCCACTTAAAGTAAAAGAAGGTATCAAATAATATGTATGTTTATATATGACATAGGACCGCAGAAGTTCATTGTAATAATGCTTGTCCCCCAGTGATTTCTTATGTTATAAACAGGTAGGTTTCATCATTTATGTCTGTTTACTTCTCCCCAGCCCCTCAAAACAGCTTTTTCACACTATATAAATTTGAACATAAATCAAAATGTTCACAAATGATTTATTGGTAACTAAGGTTTAAGGAGTCAAAAATGACCCTTCATGAGTTGCATTTATTTAACATTTAGAACTTTATGTTTAAAATATATGATATATTTTTCTGTTTTCAATAGAAAACAAACATTTGTTTGCATAGGAATTCACGAAGGTGACTCGACCTGGAAAAAGAACTATTCACTTTGGCCATGGGGTTCTTGTGACAAATTAGTTCCTTCAGAGATTGTATTCAACCCTGAGGAATGGATTCAACTTACAAGAAACATCTATAACTGGACTGAAGAATATGGACGGTATGAACAGCAGTTACATTTTTCATTGGAGTATAGCAATTTTGTGCGCCTGAAAACTTTTCTAAATTTTGAGATGCCTTTTAATTTTTTGGACTTTTTTTCCTTTGGACTTTTTTTATTAGTTATTAATATTGTCCTTTACTGCCCATAGAGTATCACAATAGAGAAAGAACATGTATTTCTTGTCCTCATGTTTGAAGAACAATGGAGCGATGGAAGGCTTGTGGTTGAGTGGATACCAAACTAGTTAGATGCAGGGCACCTTCCACTTCTAACTCTTGTAATGCTGTGTAGCTCACAAGCCCATGTCTCGTGCCCTGAAAGTGGAAGAGACTCATTAGCTGCGATAGAGCTTTAAAAGACACTCTGTTGCCCATGATAGTTTCCACATGCATATACTTGTCTTATTTTTCTTTCTTCAAGAATGGATGGACTTAGAGAATATTATCCTAAGTGAAATAAGTCAGACTGAGAAAGACAAATACCATATGATCTCACTTACATGTGAAATCTAAAGAACAGAATGGAACGCTGGGACTTACATAACGTTTTCTTTACAATTGTTTGCGGTCAGCCTGGTTCTGTTGTTTTGGGCATGATCAGTCTTCCTTGAAGCATTTCTATATGGAGTTGACTGTCTCCTATATGGAAAACGAGTCACCGTCTAAAGAAATGTGCCCCCATTGCCTATGATTAAAAATGTGAGTTATTTAAAGGTTAGATAATTATTGTGTATAACTTGAGAACAACAAGCAAGATCATAGGAAAAATGCTACAATGTTTTTTTGAATCAATATGAACAGATGCACCAGAGATGGATAAGTAGGTCTGCATCAGAGCACTCTGACCATCATCAGGAAAAGTTAGAAAATAACCTATTCTGTAAACAGCTGATGACAATATAAGTACACAACAATATCACTCATTCTCTTCATTCTGTCAAAATAGATACACAAGAGAAATTTTCATTAAGAGAATGAAAAAAATCAGCCAGTAGTTTAGCCAGTGTTCTTCGAGCAGCATCTCGTTCCAGCAATGATTTAGCAAAGTCTCCAGGCCTACCCCGCTTGCTTTTCAGTTTGTTTTCAGCCTCTTAGCTGTGTCCAGAGTGACTGAGGACCAGCCCTGCCTCTTTGCCTGTCTGATAGTTCTTAGGAACAGCTGGTTCCCCAAATGCCTCCAGCCTATTGCGAGCAATCCTTTGTTCCCATGAGGCATTGGGGCTCATTATGCAGATTAAGAACACATTTACCAAAACCTCAAATTCCTAATGATGGAACTTTTCTAAGTGAATAAGTTTACTATTTCGGTCCCTATCAGTACTTCCAGATCCGGCCTATGTTACTTGCCTTGTAAGATTATAACATAAGGATTACACATCCATAGCAATAAATGGAGCTGGCAGGAAAATGTTACTGTTTTCTTGTACCTACAGGTTTGAGCCATCTTCTTGGGAATCTGTGGCCAATGAGGAGATGTGGCAAGCAAGGTGACTAATCTGCACTTGTGTGTTTGCAGTCTGTTTTTAATATGCCAGAGAAGTAGCCTGTAGCACTTTTCATTTGGGGAGTTGGGGTGAGTGGTGATAATAAAAATAACATTTATGAGCTATTATTTTGTTTGAGGCATTGTACTAATAATTATACCTGAATAATCTCATTTCATCCTCACAACAACCTATGAAGAAGTTACTATCATCTCCATTTTACAAAAGAACAAACTGGAGGTAGAGAGGTTACTTGTCCAAGGCCACCTAGCTGCTAGTGATGGAGTCCGACTCTGGGACACTCATAACTCCTATGCTCTCCTGACTCAACTAAACCAAAGTCAGTGTGATTGAGAAGTTGATCATTACTATCTCCATGTGTAATACGCTAATTATCTAAGCACTTATCGAATGTTTCCTAGAGCCAGGCATTGCGCCAGACCTGGAAACTACACATATGAATACGACACAGTTCCTACCCCTGAGTTGCTCATAGACTAATGGAGCAATCAGATATGTTAAAAGATTTGAATATTAATGTGCTAGATATTTTGTGTTCCTGTTGTTCTGTATGGAACACTTCATGGTGATGCTATTGACTCTCTTGGTTCCTGTCATTATTTTAAAATATTCAAAATACCTAATGCTAACAGACTCTGGCTTAAATATTAATGTAAGAGTTCTAAGTGATACAGATGGGGGTACCATAGGAAGTACTTCCTGCAGCAAAGGAAGGATGACCGCTCTGGGCCAGGGACTGTGCTTTGCACCAGGAATCTACTTACAGTGTATAAAGGGTTTACTTATACGTTTAAAGAGGTTTTAAAAATAATTGTCAAGGAATACAGTTCCAAAATAATGACAAAAATAGATGTAATTTATGCAGTAGTGTTTTTGACAAAGTCAGAAAACAGCATATTTCAAGTTACCAGCCTAGTTATGGAGACAAATACTTGCTCGGAAGAACTGATCAGAGATATGCCATGTGGTGGCACAATTCTTCACTGTGATTGAATGCAGGAAAGCTGGGGGAGCAGTCACATAAAAGAAGAAAGCAGGGTATTATGCGGGTGGGTATTGATTTAATCTGGGGGCTGAATACAATTTGGATGAGTTCATGTAGTCAAAGAACGCAGCCACCTTTGAAGAGCTGGTCACACACACATAAACCATTGAGATGGGCACCTTCAGGGGTATGCTGACAAACTCAGGTCTTCCCCTGCCCAGCTGCTCTTGCATAACAATAATGTACATCTGGAGGAAAAATGATGTATGATAGTGATGATGAACATAAGCTTTTTCCTAAAAGAACTGGCAATCAGTATGGATTCAGTGTCTTGGCAGTGGAAGGAGGGAGGGGTTACTGTTGGTTCAGAGTAAATGTCTATGAATGGGAGAGAAGTAAAAATAACACAGTAAGGGATTTTGTATGTTCCTTATTGATGGGAAAGCCTAGCAGATTTAGCTTTGACTGTGGAATTGACAACATGATTTTAATGAAGTTTCTTCCCCTGCCACAGAATGAAAACACCATTCTTCATTTTTAACCTGGCAGAAACTGTGAATGTGCCTTCCAACATGAAAGTTCAACTCTACACTCACGCATATGACGTATGTTATGTTTTTATATACATAAATATATTTGGTGGGAGAGTGGTGGTGATCATTTGGGATAGAGAGAGGGTGTATCACAGTAGAGTTTTTACTTTTTTGTTTAGAGCTTTCTTTGGGATTATAAAGCAGTGGGGAAAAAAAGGAAAAATACTCCCGTGTTTCACAAATAATGTCTCAAGTATATGGCCATGGTCAGCAAAGTAATGCCTCCTCCCCAAAGGTATCCATGTCCTAATCTCCAGAGCCTGTGAATATATGGCCTTACATGGCACAAGGGACTTGGCAGATGTGATGAAGGGTTTTGAGGTGGGGATGTTATCCTGGATCATATCCAAGTGGGCCCAGTGTAATGACAAAGGTCCTTGTAAGGAGGAGGCAAGAGGCCCAAGTTGGAGAAGGAAATGTGACAATGCAAGCAGAGGTCAGCGAGAAAGATTTGAAGATGCTGTGCAACTGGCCTGGAGATGGAGGAAGGGACCGCAGTTAAGGAGTCCAGGCAGCCTCTGGAAGCTGGATAGGGCAAATAAACAGATTCTAGAGCCTCCAGAAGGGACACAGCCCTGCTGAGTTTACGAAAACCTTGATTTTATGACTTTTGACCTCCAGAAGTGTAAGATAATAAATTTATATTGTTTTAAGCCATTACATTTGTGGTGATTTGTTACAACAGCAATGGGAAATGAATTTAAGATTTTTTTTTAAATTGGGAATTGGGGGGATGGGAACAGTGCTGGGGAATTGGGGGAAGGGGAACAGACAAGTTGCTGTCGTTTTTGTTCTTCAGTCTAGTTGTGGAGGATGTTGCTTCACTGGCCCAAGTTGGCACCATCATGACGCTCTTCCCGGGCGAGGCAGATCAATCACCAGCTTCTGGACGGCCGCTCACTGCGGCTGCTGGCCGCTCACGCTGGCTGCTGGCTACACAGGGTAGCCCATGGCAACCCACTACAGCAGGGGCTGCAGCCTACGCGGTTGCCGGCGACTCAGGACAGCCCAGCTCCAGATTGAGCTGTTGTTCAGCATCTTAGCTGTGGAGGGCAGTGTCACTTGCCCTCATATGTGGGATCCGAACCGGGGCCCTCTGGCATCCCAAGCCAGTTCTTAACCATCGCGCCACTTGGCCGGCCTGGGAAGCGAATTTAATGACTTTATTTATTTATTTTTTTTAAGTACTGACAAGTTGCCCTTTATTGCAAAAGTTGTGACTTGAAACGATAGGGCCATGGCTGGTTGAGAGTTCATGAGAAAGATAAAGGGTCTTGGAGAGTGATTTTGTCTTCTAACTATGGCCCCAGGAAGCCAAGCAAACTTTCAGACAGCCCAGCCACACAGGGTCTAGCACAATTGGTTCTCTCTGATGGGAAATGAGAGTACAGTACATCCTTACCTAATGTCGGTGACAGGCTCTGTGACTTTAAGTGAGATGATGTATAATGAAACCAGTTTTACCATGGGCTAATTGATACAAACAAGAATTAATTTTCTACAAAATCTCATCAACATTACAAAATAATGTTGAATGAAAGGACGTTATTTAAGGACCTGCTGTACAGAGCAGACACTTGCTGTAACACTTTTAACAAGTCCCTGCTTTTCTGTGATTTATAGCACTGGGCTCTTTAGACACGTTCAGAGATCGTCTTGGAGCCTGCTGTATAGGAAACAGACAGCCTGGCACAGGCCAGTAAGAGCAGAGCCCAGGTGCTCTATGTATGAGCAATGGAGGTATTTCTGCTCTCTCTAGGCTGCTACGCATCTGCTCAGCCAGGGCATTTGTTTGGTGCTAACTCAAAATATCATGGTGTCCAATCAGTATGACTAATTTTACTCCAAAATGTTGTGGTCATTGTTTATCTATTTATTCATTCACTCACAGACCATTTATTGAGCACCCAGTCTGTTCCAAATAGTGTGGTGAAGACAGTCAACCATTGTCCTAACCATTGTGCTCTCAAGGAGGCAGCAGGCTAGAAAGAGGAGATCAAGTCCTAAGTTCAGTCTTGGAAGAGAGGTCTGCAGAGGTGCTCTAGGGACAGAGAGCTGACATGAGTACAGCCTCCTGCAGGGGAGGGTGGGAAGCATGGGAAAGAAGACTTCTAGAAGAGATGTCACTGGACCAGAAGGAACCCGTCAGACAGATGGTGGAGCAGGGTAGTGAGCGAGTGGGGGAGGGAGGACATTCCATAAAGAGGGAACCAAAGGGACAAAGACGCAACTCTTGAGGTACCCACTGAAGGGCGGCAAGTGATAGATCACAGGAGGCAGCACGCTGGTGTTCTGTATGACGTTCAGGAGGTCAGGTTCAAGGCCCATTTCGCCATTAATTATCAACTGTAAGTCAGTTAACCTTTCCAGGCCTTGATATTTTTTTATTTAAAAAAAAAAAAGGTAGGCTTTAAACTTTATAAAGTCTCTCTTATATCCTGGTCATATCATATCCTGTTCATCTCTAATTCCATGTGAGTCTGTAAAAAACAAGTAGTATTGAATTGGGGGAAATCTGAGACTTACTGATATTTCATATTCTCATCAGTGGTCTGTTCCACAGTCAGTTATTAAGCCACTACTGAAGCTAATTCACGGATTTATTGTCCCTTGGGGCCTGGAAGCTTTACTCTTTTCAGTGAACACAAGTCTATAACACAGTCTGTAGATGTCTCCTTCACATGTATCTCCAGCCGTGTGATATTGTTTGTAAGACAAATGAGACCAAATACGAGATGGGTCAGCAAAATCCACCCCCACCCAGTACTGGTTGTTCAAGAATATTCTTATTAGATGCAAAAGATATTTTTGTCAGCATTTGCATTATCCTGTTCAATAGTATATAAAGAATGTTAAGCTCAGGGGACATTCAGTTCAGGTGTAGTGGGGGAGCAAGGGAGTGTCCCTATTATCTTTAGGAAACATTTGAGAAGTTGAATACGTCCCCAGTGAGTAGGTTACTGTCCCAGTTCACACACACAGAGGAGGAAATAGAATTCCACATGATGAGAAATGACTGGCTTCTTAAGATATGGCACATGTGGCTGAATGGGCCATCCAGAAGCTGATGACGATGCGTCGTAACCAAGTGTTCTAGGAAAGGGTGTATGGTTGTTCTGATACCTGAGGACCAGAGCAGGGAGGTGGTGAGTGAGCCTCTCATTCTTTTGAGCCCCTGGGAAAATGCTCACCGAGATACTGGCCTCAGTTTTGAACCCCAAAACCTTGGTAGGATTTTGAAAACTTGGGGAAGTAAAAACCTGAACAGTTCCTGGGCTCCTGCTCTGTGCCAGGCACTTACACCCGCCCCTCATCGGAGGGAGGCCAGGGAAGAGAAGCAACAGATAGAGGGGGAAAGACGGGAGGAAAGGTAGAGAAACACTGAATATTTTATCAAGAGAATGAAAGGGTGGGAGGCTAACTTCATAACTTTGATATATATGAAAGTGTGAGATGACCCTTCCCTTTGTTGTGGAGTGAAGGAAACTTAAGGGGAAATTGCTTTAAAAGGCAGTTTGAAGACTGAAGATTATTACATATCAAAATAGCATCAAACATGGATTGTGGATTTTTTTTTTTAAATAGGTTAGATATGCCTTTGTCTGCTATGGAGTAGGAATTGGAGAAATAGAAAATATACTGGGTCCCTTTCAAGTGAATGATGTGACGAATACAGTTCTAATTTAAAAAGCACTTGTCCCCAGAGAAAGCATTGTTGCTTCTTGTGTGCTATCATGGAGCCTGCTGGTAAACCCAGGTTCCTGTGGCTCTAACTCCAGTTTGACAAACTCCCAGAAGGCTGTGAAATTCCCAGATAAACAAGTGTCATCTTCCATTGTGCAGATTTGTATCTACTTTTTTTGTTCAATTTTGATGTTTTTCCACCAAAAAACTCCGTATCAAAAATTCTGACTCTGGGGCCGGCCAAGTGGCGCGATGGTTAAGAGCTGGCTTGGGATGCCAGAGGGCCCCGGTTCGGATCCCACATATGAGGGCCAGTGACACTGCCCTCTACAGCTAAGATGCTGAACAACAGCTCAACTGGAGCTGGGCTGCTGTGGGTCGCTGGTGACGGTGTAGGCTGCAGCCCCTGTTGCAGTGGGTTGCCATGGGCTACCCTGTGTAGCCAGCAGCCAGCGTGAGCGGCCAGCAGCCGCAGTGAGTGGCCGTCCAGAAGCCGGCGACTGATCTGCCTCGCCAGGGAAGAGTGCAATGATGGTGCCAACTTGGGCCAGTGAAGCAACATCCTCCACAACTAGACTGAAGAACACAACGACAGCAACTTGTCTGTTCCCCTTCCCCCGATTCCCCAGCACTGTTCCCCTTCCCCCAGTTCCCCAGCACTGTTCCCATTCCCCCAATTTCCCAATTGAAAAAAAAAAAATTCTGACTCTGTCTTATTAATACTACCTCTGATGCTGAAAAACAAAGTTCCCAATTCCTGTGGGCAGAGTTTGCACCATCCAAATTGTAATTATAGGATCCTATGAAGCTTTTCAATATCTCGCTTTAAGGCTATCCCTTAAATTCTATTATGCCCACCCTGTTCAATGCAGGATTTATTTGAGTTGTTTTATCGTTGCTCTTATTACTGTTGTTTTTAATGGAGAAGAACATTTGTGTAAAAATGAGGGACAAAATTTAAATTTCTTCACGTTTTTTTCCATGCGGTTTTCTAAAGAAAGCTTTCTTTTTTTTTCCTCCAACAGCTAAATTTAGAGTTTCAACCTTGCTGCCTATTGAGTAAATAGCTTTCCATGAATTAGAAGTAAATCCCTTTCCCCGAACATTTTTCTGGAGGAAGCGCATTTTGTCCTGGCAGTGTGTCGTAGGTTCCCTCTGCAACATCTGAAAAACCCCAGAAGTAGTTTTTGATGAAGGACATTTGCCTCCTCCTACTGTAATAATTACAGTAACATCCTTGCATTTTCTGCATGGCCTAGCAACGATTAGATTTTTACTGTAGGCTGCTTGGATTTTTTTTCCTTGTGTTATTAATTTCTCTGTGTTTTCTGTTTTTTTGCGGGGTGGGGAGAATCAAGGAGTAACAATGAGATACCCACATGTTTGCTGTCTTCCAGCTTTATAAGGAGCTTGTGTCTTTACGGAAGGAACACCCAGTGAACTGGCACAAGAACTACGCCATCGCCTGCGAGCGAATGCTGCGCCTCCGGCCAAAAGGCGCAGACCCCGAAGTCTTGTTGTCTGAAACCATCCGACATTTCCGGCTCTACACCCAGAAAGCACGGAACGATCCACAACTGGCTGATATTTCTGTGGCTCTGAATCACCTAAGAAAAGAGCTGCAAAGTCTGAGAAATAGGAAAAACGTCTGAGACAGCAAAACATGAAAAAAAAACAACCTGCTCCTCATTCCGCTTCTGAAATTCTGAGGTCCAAAAGTTTCCCTCCAAGAAAAGAAACTGTATAAAAAATTGAAGACTAGGTCACCTCCCAGACAGAACAGAAGTAATGTGGCACAAGGCAGTACTGTTTTATTTGGGGGTGGGGGGGGGTTAAGTGACTGAGGTGTGCTATTTATGCAAATTATGTTTATCCCATGTTACCAAATGAGCAGTTCAGTAAGAATCTTTCCAAAATTCTTCCTACTTCCCCAGTCTTTCACCTAATGACGTTGCTTGATTCAATTCTAAAAGAAAATGGACTCTTTTCATATACTTAAAATATTGACGGTGCATCTTTTAAAGGGTCCTGCTTATTGGGATCAATCTTGAAGGTTAAATTCTTAAAACATTAATACCAGGCCAAAGACATTTTCTGTTGCCCAAAAGTGAATTTAAAAAAACAAACAAAAAAACCGAATGAATCTTGTTATGCTACAAGTTAGAATACTTTTTTTTTTTCCTTTGAGTAGCTGTGGCTGTTACACAATCTCATGCTTCAGGCTAAATACCAACTGGATGATAGTTTGAAAAAAGTTGGGATTTTACTGTCTTAGAAAATTCTCGGAAAGCACTGAAAAATAAAGCTAATTCGTTGTTTGCTTTTTTTTTCAGTTGCATAAACTGATTGGCAAGTCAAAAGGATTTTGCATTTCCTCAATTAATTTTATATTTATGTTTTACTTCTATTCGGACTCATAAATCTGGGCCCAATAATTAGTAGGCTCCTGTGGCCAAAATGCAAAAAAAAAAAGTGGGGATTGGAGGGGGGGATGGGGAAGTGGTTCAATAAATTCATTTCTGTTACAAGCATCTTTTATACATATTACTAAAGAGAACATAGTAAGAAATGCAAATAATAGTTCTTTATTTTATTATGACAGTTAATTAATAGCAACCTGTTTTAATGAATAAAGTCACTCAGAGTCCTTCAGCACTTCCTAAGCAGAGGCCCGAATCTGTAGGGATTCTTTTCCCCCCAATTGTATAGCTCCTAGACTCCGAGCACTATATAGGCCCCTGTATAGAAATGCTCACTAATGAAGAGGGAGGGCTAGAAGCTTGTCTGCATTCAAAGATCACTGGTGAGTCATTCAGCAAGAAAAGGCCCCTTACCAGGAATAGTCACAGTTCCGTGGCATTGTACTAGCAAAAGGGTCTGATCAAAGGTCTCCTGTGGAGCTTGCATGGTTCCCTTTCATACTACGACCATAATTAAAACCACTAATTCTCTTTTAAAATGCTGCAGGATGCCATGTAGGCATCTGTCTGGAGTGTCCTTTGTGATGTCATAAGCTGTTAAGGACCAGTGCCGAGGGCCTTTGAGTGAAATGCCAGTCATGAAGGTGCTTCAAGACGAGGGCGCCTCTAAAAGCTTGACAGGGCCTTGACTGCACAATTCGAGCTGAATTTGCCCCTTGTCAGCTGCCAGTAAATAAATCTCAAAGGGGGAAAAGCTGAAGTTTCATTACCTGATCCGTGGGGCTTTGTTGGTTTTGGCACCACACAGGGGAAGCTCTCGCCCCTCCATTCTCTGGATTTGAAGATGTCCATTGGAGCCTGCAGTGCCTGGACAGGGTTCAGAGCGGAACCTTTTGAAGAGTGTCAATAGTTGTAACAGTTCAGCTGTTAGGAAGACAAATAAATGGAGGAGCTCATTAATCCGCTTTTGGCTCTCAGTGCCTTTTGCCCTTTTATCACAGCCTTATTAGGCTCCTACTCATCTTGAACCAGAAAAAAATGAATTGAAGTTGTTGAGTACTAATTGGCAAAGACTTTTAATCATGGGCCAAGAACTTTCACTGACTTGAAAGTAACTTCTCCACAGGGAAGAACCGAAAACCTGGTTTACCTTAAAACAAAAAACCTGTGGGAGTTCAGTGTGCTGTAAAAATTTAGGGAAGCATTGATAAATTGTCTAAGTTTCTCCATTTGAAAGAAATGAGGTAAGATTATGATTTCTACTTTTCTAGAGAAAAAAATAGTACAATAAAATTCAAATAAATGTTCCCTAGAAATGTATTGTCTTTACTGATTCAGAAGAGATCGCACGCGTATGTAAGATGATCATGGGTTTCTGAACATCTATCTATGGATGTAAGTCTTCATCTGAGCATCTATACATACATGTGGTGTTGGAGGAATGAAATTAGAAGTAGCATTTCCTACATATAGCCTTAAGAATGGCCAATGAAGACTTCTTCAGAATATCTGCTTTTTAAATTTACATCTGTACTGTGGAGCTATATATATATATATATATATATATATATATATCCGAGTATGCTTTGTGGGTTGACTCTTGTCAGATGTGCACAGGTTATTCTGTATTTGTCCAACAATGGCTCTGGACCACTCTCTTTGAGAAAGCCATCCTATGATGGTCCAGAGTAGATAGGATCATAATTATTTAAATTTCCAACAACCATCAGTACATGGAAAAATTGCAGACTAAGCTGAGATCCTGGGATGTTGGACTTCATTCCCAGATCCACCACTTGGAAGAATTCTTTCCTTTCTATTGTGTGAAGTTAAACAACTTGCTTTCTTTTTCTCCCTCTTACTTTTCCTTGGCGAGTGCACAAACACCATAAAATCGGACAGAAGGGGTTTCCTTTCGTGTAACCCCCTGACATGGGAGAGAATGTGAAGGAGGTGACTTCTCATGCCGGATTTGGCCAGCATCCTCCTAGCAGTGTCCCTGAGTGCCGCGGGTTGGCAGGACGACAGGAACCCCACAAGGCCAGCTTCTGCCTGGACTTCGGCCTGAGCAGCAAGTGGGAGCCGGCAGAACTGTCTGCCTGTCCACATGCTGCAGTGCCCTGCTGCCCGGCACCGAGGCAGGCACACATGGAGGGCAAGCCGAGAAGGGATTGTGTGGCTCCATGTTCTCTAACAAATCCCCTCCCCAGCCCTGTGCCCGCTGATGGGAGGTGTGCTTGACTCTTGCTGTTGACTTTCCTCATCTTTGTTTTTTTCAAGGACCTATTTTTTTTTTAATGCTTTTGTTCTATTACTCAAAATGCAGCCAAACTCGGAGAGAATCAATTACTAGTGTACTATTTTGAAATCTTCAAATAGAAATTATGAAATGTTATGTCTTGTCCATATTCTTAGTATTTTCTGGTGATTGGACCATGATTTTTAGCCATTATGATATTTAAATAAAGCCCATTTTGAGTATGAGGGTTATTTTATGATTCCCTGCTGATTTCTTTAAGTTATCAGGTGAGGATATGAAGAGCTGTTTTTAAATTTATATTTTTAAAAGTTAAATAATGTGAATCTGTAATCATAGTTCCCACCAATATCCCTCAGAATTTAAAAATGTTAGTACTTTTAATATTAAGGGGAAAAAAATAATACCACAGGTTGAAAAAACAGATCCTGTTACAGTAAATGCTTTTACTCTGTTTTAAATCTGGTGTATTTTATAAATATACCATGGTAGAGTATTACTAAAATTCTGTTCTTCTCACTGGTTCCAAGTCCTGTGGTAGGTAAAATAATTCCAACCCAATAAGAGATTCACACTGCTTTGTTCATCCTCATGTTTTGTTGTGGATGCAAAACCATCTTAAGGCTTATATTCACAAACAAATAAGTAACGTTCCCAGGGATTCTGGGAACATCTAAAGGCCAAGATCTTGGCACAGCATTACAGAGCAAACAGGGAGCTAAAGCTTTAGCAGCGATCATATTCAATGAAGACGTCATTGTCAGTACCCTCTAAAGGTCTGTTTGATTTGGATCAGCATGGATAGTATTTTAAAAGCCTCAGGAATAGCACAATGTGCCTACCTGGATATAGGAAAGTAAAGGAATAGGAATATATTTTGAGAAAGGGATTTTTTTCTGGGAAAAAATCATATTGCTTTTCAACGATGTAACATATATTTGGTGGAAATTGTATGTACCGGAAAGATAAGCTTATGTATATTTTTTTTAAAAGTGAGGGTGGGGGAGATGGGTAGATGTTCCAAAACTGTAAACATGAAGTCCACAATTACTGATTTTTAAATGGAGTTCTTCGGATCTTATCTACAAATCTAAAGGGTTATTGGTGAAGCTCAATTTTCAGTAATATAAATATTATGGTGATTTTAGAAAAGCCGAGTTGGTGAGATTGAGAAAGTTTGAAGATACAGATCAAAAACACAATGGCAACTAACTGGGCCATGTTCCCATCCCAGTGATTCAACTTCACCGAGCACCCCAGAGGCCTCAAGCCTTTCTGTGCATAGTTGCCATTAAACAAGGATAATGCTAAATGTTTATCCCATAAAAGATAAATAGGAATAAGCCAAATCTAAGATTTAACCCTTAATCATTTTCACTGTTTAGAATTTTTAAATCTGTGTAAGTTGTATTGGGGGGGAAAGGATGATAGATGGCATACGATCTTTATATTGTTAAGTTCATTCTATATTATAAACTAATATGTGGAGATTATGTCCCGTTTTTTAAAATATACAAAGAAACCATAATTATCTCCTGTTTAGAAGTGTTACCTGAAAAGGGATTATTTTGTAATGTAACCTTTTAAAGGAGATATTTTGAGATTTCTCTCATCTAAATGAAATGTTGCCTAGATGGTTGAACCATGGGAAATATTCCTAATACCTGTGGTTGTCGCTTATATGCACAAGTATGTGTGATTAAAGTAAAAAAGGGAACATTGCCTGTGAAATCAGACCCAGTTTTCTCATTCTTGGATTATGGTGCGATGGAACCTAAATGAAACCCCCATTACCCTAGCCCAGGGGTCAGCAAACATTTGAGACGGAAGAGCCAATCCCGTCTCTCACAACAATTTAAAAATTATTCAAGAGCCATAAAACAAATGAAATCACCATTATGTGGATAATATCCTTTAAAAATTTTTATAAATGAAACTGATAGTTTTATTCTTATTTCCAATTTTACTTCAGAGCCACATGTACATACCCAAAGAGCCGCACGTGACTCGCAAGCCGCAGTTTGCCGACCCCTGGCCTAGACCCTTGAGTATCACCTACGACACAAGAAATCCCTGTAACACCCTGGCATGCCAAGATTTGGCAACAGAGGGCCCATTGAAGATTTGAGGAAATGGTAAAAGATGCAAGCCTAGAATCTTTTTATTGTATCCTCCCTAAGGGCTCTTTTAAAGTACTCTAGCAAAATCTATAGAAACTTCTTTTAAAAGGAGCATTTGTAAACAGAAGATGGTCTATTTATTAAAACACAAGGGTTCCTTTTATTGAAGAGTTAAAAGCCAATCTAACAGGTGAGAGGAAGTTTCAAAAAAAAAAAAAAAGTAAAGTTTTGTTATAGAAGAATGAAAAACCAAAGTTCAGTTATGCAGAACTTAAAACAGGTGAAGTTCACCCATGGACAGTACTTGTATTTAGAGGTTGTTTTTATTTGGTGTATCATTATTTTTCACTAAACTTGTAGCATAGTCCTTCAATACGTGGACTGGTATCTACTCAGTTTTTTGTTTTTGTTTTTAACCTGAGCCATCCTGCCACCTGTTGGCAGCTCAGGCGCTGCTCAGCTCGGGCCAGGACTTGAACTGCTGTTGCTCAGAGCTCAAACTCTTGAGCAAGCTCCTAACCAACTGAGCCACTCGGCCTGCCCTACTCAGTTTTAATATATATTTTTTTCAATGATCAGAATTTTCACCATTAACCTGTGTAGTCACATGGGGGCAGGTCCTCAAAATGCAGGATTGTGCCTTGTTATGGTGATACTCAAACTAGGTTGCAAAGTCAACTTAGTGGAAAGTGAATAGCTTTCCCTTAATGAAATAAAAAATATAATGAATCTGAGGTAATAAGGATAAGTATTACTTCATGAAAGTCATATACATATATGTGTGTGGTCACATGTGTAACATATCACACTATGTATGTGTATATGTATATGAAGACATTTTTATATAAGTCTAAAGGTATGTGAACTAGGTCAGAATATAAAATGTACTTCTTATTGTGGGTCACAGTAAAAAATAAATTTGAGGGCCAGCCGAGTGGCGCAATGGTTACGAACTGGCTTGGGATGCCCCGGTTCGGATCCCACATATGAGGGCCAGTGACACTGCCCTCCACAGCTAAGATGCTGAACAACAGCTCAACCTGGAGCTGAGTTGCCATGAGTTGCCGGCAATGGTGTAGGCTGCAGCCCCTGCTGCAGTGGGTTGCCATGGGCTACCATGTGTAGCCAGCAGCCAGTGTGAGCGGCCAGCAGCCGCAGTGAGCGGCAGTCCAAAAGCCGGCGACTGATCTGCCTCACCCGGGAAGAGCGCAATGATGGTGCCAACTTGGGCCAGTGAAGCGATGTCCTCCACAACTAGACTGAAGAACAAAAGGACAGCAACTTGTCTGTTCCCCTTCCCCCAATTCCCCAGCACTGTTCCCATCCCCCAAGTCCCCAATAAAAATCTTTAAAAAAAATAAAAAATAATAATAAATTTGAGAGCCACTGGCCTAGGAGAACTTATCCAACTTTATCGAATGTTAATGCCAAAAAGGTTAGTAAGGGATCATCTAGTATAACTAGCATGACTAACCTAGTTTAATGAATGAAAAAACTGAGGCCTACACTAAGTAAGGGACTTGATTAAAGTCACACAGCTGGGCGTGGTAGAGCTGGTACTGGAACACAAGATTCTTAGGTCAAGCTGGTATCCTGTCCCCTCTTCCATCATAGTTAAATGAAACCAGCTATGCTCCACTGTCAACTTTATGTCACACTGAAGTCCCCAAATAATGCAGTCATATTAAAAGTATGATAAGTTTTTCCAGAGATAAATGGTGTGTGACATCAGGAACTATGTCACAAGAAATTGTTTAAAAGCCATGTACTGAACTTGCTTTCCCTCCTCCAAACCTCTGGAATATAATTCTTTTTTTTTTTTTTGTGCCCTTCCCTTTAGATAGGGCCAGTTCTATCTCTAGCTTTTGACAGAATTGTCCTACACATTTTGGATTTAGGAATATATATCCAAATTAAAAGACGATAAGAAAAAGTCACTTTGAAATCTAGGGACTTAACAGCATAAAATTACCTTCTAGCTGAATCAGCTACTGAAAGCTCCATTTAAGAATTGTTACACTCGTTTATGTATTCCTTTTCCAGGGTTCAAAACATATTATTCCAGAAGGAAATATGTCCCAACTCCACTGAAATGTTCTTTAAGTTGGGAATTCGACTTTTCCTCTCAGAATCCAAGACATCTACAGCCAATGTTCATGACGATTCTGTCACTCTATTATTTGGTTCAGCTACTCTATTAAAAAATGTGTTACAGTGTCCAGAAGGGCAGAGGCCTTTGAAGACCTAAGTGTCTGGTTTCCTAATTATGAACCTTACCAATTCAGTATTTAGGTGATAATGATTTCTTCCAAATTCGGCTCTTGTGTCATATGTAAAATTATATAAGAATGATTATCATTGTTATAACAACTAATCCCATTCAGTATCCATTGAATGGCTTCAACGATCTGAAATCACCTAAATTTCCTGCATTTACTGTCAGAGTTGGAACTAATTTGGCCCTTCATTTTGGGAGGCAAATAAATTTGGTGTCTCTCATGAGACAAAGACTTTCTGATGTGACCACAAAAACCATGCTGCCCTGCCCTCAGCACACTGGATAAAGATGACCTGTTTCATGGGGTTAGCATTAATGTGACAATCCTTTTCTCCTTTCACATGTCCCCTTGTGAACAATTACATAGTTGATCTATAGAGCCTAAACCTGTTGAACACTGTGAGCTGATTTGTACAAAGTGCATGTGTGAACCTATACAAGAATCAAACAAAACTAGAACTTTGTTTTAAAGCAATTCCATGAGCTCCCAAAGTAATTGTGCTCTAACCTGTCATAGGAAACGTGACTGCTTGAAATTTTGATGATTGAGAGATTCTATGTTCCTTTTTTATTATAGTGCTGGTAGAGTAAATAAATACCATAACACCTTCATCTCACCCTGAAAGCTCCCACAACAGCATGCAATCTCCCGCAGGAACCCACTGTGACCTGCCAGTGAGGGAGGGACAGTGGACTTCCTGTTGCCTGCATGGAGACACGGACACAAGGATGTGTGCCGGGTGTATTCATTTTGTCGCTAAGAGCCAAGAGCAGAAACCTAGTCCTTTCCAACTCTCCCACTTACATTCCCAGGTTACAGGCTATTCCAGAAAGCATAGGCCTTCCTTTTCTAGATCACACTAGAAACACTGTATAGTATAGTGGTTAGAGCTAGATGCCCAGCTCTGCCACTTGCTAGCTGCATGACTTGGAGCAAGTGTGTATGCCTTAATTTCCTTTTCTGTAGAATGGACATAGAGCAGATTTACCTCATGGTGTGACTGTAAGGATGAAAAGAGCTGATATATATAAAGTACACTGAACAGTGCTTGGTACATACCAAATGCTCATACTGCTAACTCTTTTTGTTAATATTCCAGTAAAACCTGTTCTAATTTGCCTTATACACCTGAGTAAAGTAAGTCTCAGAGCCTCCTGTTGCTTTGCTTCTCTTCTATGTTTAAAAAAATCCTCACTAAATATGCATCTGGAAAACTGTCATAATTCAATTTAAATTGCAATGGTAATTACAAATTATGTTATTTAAATTATATGGAAAACTGGCAATTAAAAGAAAGTAACCAAGAAGCACTGAGCAGATGAAGAAATCAGTCCCATCAATCAGGTAAACACATCTCAACCTGCAGGCACATGCGCACACACGCACGCACGCAAGTTAAATCCATTCCGTGCGACCCCGTTACATGACCATCCTTCCCTCTCTACTGGCTTCCCCACAGCATAGCGCACCCGGAAGGAGACTAACATTTACTGTTTGCCTCCTCTCTTCAACTTAGATTTTTGCCATCTGTACAATTGAGCTGATTCTCCCTTTTTCTTTTTTAGATTTTATTAGGAAATTTAGGAAATTGGGGAAGGGGAACAGTGTTGGGGAATTGGGAAAGGGGAACAGCCAAGTTGTCATCTTTCAGTCTTAGTTGTGGAGGGCGCGGCTAGCTCAGCTCCAAGTCCAGTCTCCATCCTGCTGCCCGTTGGCAGCTTGCGGCCGCTCAGCTCAAGGTGCCATGTTCAATCTTAGTTGCGGGTGGCCGTAGCCACCATCCCATGTGGGAGTCAAACCAGCAGCCTTGTTGTTAAAAGCACACGCTGTATCCACTGAGCCATCCAAGTGGCAGCTCAGCGCAAGGTACCGAGTTCAGTCTTAGTTGTGGGCAGGTGTAGCCCACCATCGAACAGGCAGTCTTGTTGTTACACCAACTGAGCCATCCTGCCACCTGTTGGCAGCTCAGCAGCAGTTCAACTCGGGCGCAGCTCACTGGCCCATATGGGAATCAAACCGGTGGCCCCATTGCTCAGAGCTCACACTCTTAACCAACTGAGCCACTTGGCCGGCCCCCTCTACCTTTTCTTAAACAGTGTAGATTCTGTTGCTCCCAGAGACCTCTTAAAAAATAGTCTCCTCCCAATGCAGCTTCTCTAAACACTTCGAGGACTAACATAGGACACCTGGCTTGGTGTGCCAACTCAGCTTTCAAAACCACGCTGGGGAACAGGGTCATACATTTCAGTGTGGGGAGAGTAAAGCACCATCAGTGTGTTTTGTCAGTGAGTATCCCATTCGACTTTTTTTAAATTAATTTAATCCATAAGCATTGTT